CATTCGAAACACGCGATAGGATAGTTTCTGTGATCATACAAAAATGAAAGAGACACTTACCACTCGATGAACATTTATCATAACGACTGTAACTCGATACGTGAGCTACAAGTTGTAGTAAGAAGAAGAAAAACATCATACTTTTTGTAATCATTACAAGAAAAAATTCGAAAGTGTGTGTGACTTCTTTGCTTATTTATACAGAGAGATAACAACACATCATGATGCACCTTGAGTATGAGTATAGACGTTACTTTTCTTTTCTTTACTCATGTTTTGACTCATTTATTTGCAAATGACAGCGCAAAATAGTATCGTTCAGTCGAAATCTGTTGATTCTTTTGAGTTTCTATGAGTTATTTGGTTACTGAATTTTGATATAAATTTTTTCATGGCGACTTGCGACTGAATTCCAATCAGTGATTGCTGGAACTCAATCGACAAAAACGGTAACGAAATTTGAATGCAAGAAACTCCTCGGATCGTCATATAATTTACTCAAACTTGTTGAAATCATGACCGGACGAAATGAAATATATCGATACCGATAGTTGAAACATTGCACTTTTTAATGATATACTATAAAGGACATGCGCTCATTTAATGTGAAATAACGTCTAGTTGATGATATATTCAGTTCTTTTTCATCCAACATGTTCTAATATTCCACCGGTTCCGTTTGGGTTTGATATTTTCAACATGCTACACTTTTGTGATCAATTTTTTCTTCCATCAATGACATGATCGCACTTGGCAAACACGACCACAGCGAGAAAAAGAAATTGGTCAGCGTAAAGAAAATCGATGTGATCAGCCGCTTTATCAAGAGAAATGAAAAAATATTTTTAGTGCAAGTTTTCATACGTGGAAGTCGAACTTACTTGACAAGCACAAAATGCAGATAAAAATATTCTCAGTACTGAAAACTTTCCGAGTTCTTAGCATCCACAACAATACTCCGTTTCATGTTAGAAAGACAGACATTTTTCAAGCGCTTGCATATTTTCAATAGCCTCATTGGTACAGCGAACGTCATCTTCTATGAAGTTTTGTTCAAATAGTTTGTCACCATTTTATTACGCTTTCTGTTGCATTCAACAAAATTCATCGTTCATAAAACCACAATACAATTGGACGTCAGTGATTCCGGAACAGATGTAAAAGAAGAAAAAGATCCCTATTTAATAACAAGATGTACATCATTTATTGTAATTGGACATGATACATTGTTACAGAACGATCTAATTTGGACAAACAGTCTCATCAATGAGAAACACTCTCCTGATCGCTTCTGCACTGCTCTGAAGATAAATAAACTTAGTTAATCAGAAGATTACGGTCACTGCTTAGTAAGACAGGGCCATGGCTTTATCAGAGTAGTTGAGTTATTGCTCCTTGATAGATAGCCGAGATCTTGCGGAGACGGAGGACACGTACTCACTATTTTAAAGTATTCACTGGCTCGGTGATCCATATTCATCTCAATAATCTTATCCCAATTTTTGAAATTGCGATCGAGGTACGCTTTTCGATTTTCATGGCATGCGATTGCCCACAATTGCGTATGACCGAACTTCACTCTGTCGAAAGGATTCTCCCAGTCAGATTTTCTTAGAAAGTAGTTTGAATAGTCGTGACGGCAACCTTCTGAGCGTACACATACTGGCCTTCGGTCTTGTCCCCTTCAATTGCAATGAGATCCAAAAACGGTCACTTGCTTGTTCAATAATGGATGCCATCAGTCCAAAGGCCAGAAGCAAGACGTGGACTGTCGAGGGTGTGGGTGTGGGTTATGAAAAGATTTACATCCACATCCATACACACAGCCACCCCCACACACCCACAAAACCGACACCGACACCCACACCCCATCCTCTGTTCTCGAACATGTATTGAGAACAAAATTCAATAATCATATTATTTAGCTTGTAATGATCTGCAGTTTCCTAGAGGTAAAATTCACTTCATATCCAAAGTAAACATGTGTTATTTTCAAAATCCTTCTTAACAAATTTTTTTGATAAGTGTCAAGAAAAAATCTCGGTTATAAATCCCTTTATGTAAAACGGACAAGAGAGAAATTTTGTTGCCCTACTGAAACATCTTGAAAGCAAGATCTGGGTCAAGATACAAAGCGCAGAAATGTTAACAACTCTTGAAAGTTTTCGCACAATATCGTGTCATCACCTTATACGAAGATCTGTGCAATAAGATCTTGGGTACAGGTAAATCTGATGCGACTAAGATACAAGAGCGTTACATTTCTAGCTCCCAAGATTTTGACTAATACTACTTAATAAAGAGTATGTTACCACTGCTTGAAACTAGATTGTGCCGAATTGTTCAATAAAACTTGATCGTCACTCGAGGACTTTCATGACGGCCACGATTTCGAACGTTTTTTGAATATAACATCTGCCTTTAACTTAACTCTTTCTAATTATAGCAGAAATCTGACTTTGGATTCATATTCACCGTCAAATTTTACAGCATATTATATATTTCAGAAGTATTTCGAGTTGTTCATAAATGAATTCTAATAATCATTTTGGAACAAGTGTATTTTAGCGAGGACTTTATAAATCTGCACCAAAGATCTAATTACCGATTTTGGTACAAAATAATTATAGCATTTATCTTGCACCTAAATACTCGAGATCTGGGTGTGGGTGTTTCTTTGCTAACGTCCACACTCACATTCACATCCTCATTCACACCCACATCCACGCCCATCTATACCTACACCCCACATTACACACACCCAAAAGTTTTCCTAAGTTGGCACTACTACCATAATTAGGATATATATGCAAGCATAGGTGGTAAAAATATCAGTTAGACAGGCGTTAACTCCTGATAGGTTTTTGGCATAGAGGCTCTTTGTTGTCTATTCTGTTTTAAAATGGATTATGATCATTTTTTTTAAACATAAAGACTACAGGTGAGCAAGTTTTTTATGAAATTGTTGGCTTGCGGAATTTTGTGTTGTGTTGCCGAGCGATCTAATTTTCTTAAGGTATGCCGATCTCGGGGTTAAAGTCATGTCAGATTTTTTTTCTAGGGCTCTATAAAATTTGATGAACCTCTGTTTTAGAAAACAATTGGTCACATATATATGTATCTATGCAAACGGTTGAATACTGAAAAAGAATAATATCTTCGCATATATTCGGTTGGTTTTTCACTGTGCCCCGTGTGCGCATGAGATTCGCACTCATCATGACTCCATCAGAATGGTTTCTGATCTCGTCCACGAATAGAATAACTATCAATTATTTTTCATCCAATCACGATTTATTTGAGAGAAAGAATTCAAAAAGTTAAGCACCATTTGGGATTCATTCGATAGAAAATCGTTGAACACAATGATTGAAATAATCGACAACATAGAAATTGCTATGCCGATCGAGGGACAAAACTCTTAGATAGTCTCCTATTTAATATCGTCTGATTTCATGTTTTCTAGCGTCAGACATGTTGAGATACCTCTGGTCATCCGTAGATAATTCTTAAAAATAGATGTTGTTGATGAGGATTTCTTCCTGAGTAGCGCTGCTACGATGAGACCATCGTACAAGTTGTTGATTCCCATGATGACAAATAATGAGACTATCTATCTCTTTGTCGATCAAGACATCAATTGAACGAACCAATTGTCCAATCGATTTCCTCGGTCATGGCAACCAAGTATGACTTATCCATTCATGTCATCCATTTTTGATTGGATGGATGATGCGATCATTCTCCCAGTCAACGATGATCATCGTTATTGTTGAACAGATTCCCTTCTTGTGAACGGAAAGTGCTACAATAAATTAAATATTCTCCTTCATTGAAGGGAATCTCTCTGCAAAGCATCCTTCTTTTTATAGATACCGAAAGAAAAATCTTTCGTAGAATAGAAAACCTTTTTTGTTGGCAAATCTAGCAGAATAGTGCTTCTTTTTTCTCCTTGAAAGTTTCATGTCGCTAAAACTTGTGAAAACAAGTTTGATGCTGTTGAGTAATTCTAAAAGATGAAGGATATCGTGAAAGAAATAAAGCATCGAGTAAAAGCTAATTCTATTGAAGCCTTCATAGAAAAGTTTTTGAGAATACTGTACAACGAATTTCTAAAATGTGCAGGAGACGTTTGATTTACCTATAGCTGAAAATCCGAACTATCAAGAAAAAATGAATCCTTGAAGACGCTAATCTGTACAATCGACATCCCTGATTCACGAACTAGCTATATGCCTATCTATAAGTCAAACATTGAAAAGAACTACCCATCACGTTGGAGACTTCTGAGTTTTATTTATACTGTATATCTCATTTCTAGAGATTCATCAATAGTGTCAGACGATAGCATAGAATTTATCGAGCCGATCTTGCAAACTTATCCAAACATCATGAACTGATCTTCAACGGATTCATTCTGAATATCCGGAGGATCCTAAAAGTTATTCTTCAATGATTTAGGACTCAAATCAGCAAATCGATAAGGAATCTTACAAGAATCTCATCATCGCTCCAAATATGATATCCGCTACATGCTACTGAGAGCTTCAAGTAGTATTAAGAAAATTTGGGATATACGCTAACTAGATTGTGATAGCATGTGGACAAGATCTCCAGCAGATACTGACAGGATATCGCGAAAATTCTAGGAACATCTAGAGCGAATTCTATGAAAATCTGGGCAAGAATTCAAAAGGATATAAAGTGAATCGTTAAGCAATCGAAACAGGATCCAAAGACAATCTTAATAGGATCCTAATAGGTGTTGAAGAACATTCAGATATAATTTATAGAGGATTCTAACGGAAACTAACGAGTATCTTCTAAGAGACTTAATACAATCCAAGAAGGATCAACGAAAGATCTAGGATGTGGAGTGTGACTGTATGAGTGTCTTATTTCTTTCTTCCCACAAATCCACACGCACAACCACACCTACATCCTCTGTGAGTGTACAAGTATTGAAAATGGATATATTTTTTACTATTTATAGAGACATATCAATAACCGAGTGAATGTTTGAGAGAAGAATATAATTTCCAAATTTTTCTTTGTGCTCGAGCCCAGAATGAAGCATTGTTTTGAATTGCAAAACACCATTGTAACAGTTTTTCATCACTTAATGATTTCATAATGCCTAACATTAACTCGTCGACACCTTCCGGCTTTTTTCTAATATTGCCTACTACATAATTAATCGAATTGACTTGGGTACAAAGGCCAATGGAACCATAATAATAAATATTCTCTTTAACTTTTGGTTGTGCATGATGATGAATCAGAGTATCTTGAAATAATTTCAAGATGCTATCTGCTTCATCCGATGCATACATGTTTGTTACAACCATTGCAATGAATACTTTCAAATTTTTACATGCTTTGACAATACCTTTGAGTTGTTCAAGTTTAACATAAGTGCTTGGTGATGCACAAAAAATGAGACAAACTGGACTTTTTTTGTTAATTAAATCTTGTGCATATTCTGTCACATCTAATTTTGTCCAATCCTTAATACCTGGTGAGTCCCAAATTCGAATCGAATTTGTTGATATTTTTGTCGTGCTGTCTTCGGTTTCTGTAAAATAAAATTCTTCATACTCATAATAACTAGATTCTTGCGTACATGCATTACGTCCAGCATGTGTTTGGGCTACATCTTTGTATAGAATGGCATTGATCAGTGTACTTTTTCCAACTCTAGGTGAACCCATGAGTATGATATCAAACGTTTTTCCTATAGGTTGATGTAGATAATTTTGTATATCTCGTCGTGGTATAGGCTGAATAGTGGCATGAACAACATCATGAGGAATACCCTGATTATTTTCATTGCTAGGTGATGATGCTGTTGGATTGGAGTTTGGAACAATATGGCCTGGTTGCTCATTGACAATACTCGTCACCATTGTCTCCTGACTTGAGTCTTCGATCGCATGTGATAGAGAAGTTGGCATAGCTATAAACAAAACAGTTCGTATGATTTTAAGGCTTGAATCAGAAACAATATTAGTGAATAAGGCAAGATAAACTAATAATTCTCTTCATGCCCCAGTAAAGAATCAGATACATATAATAATAAAAAAAGACTACGACTTATCGATTCTTTCTATTATCGGCAACTATACGGTTATTACTAAAAGACCCGGGTAATATTTGAATTCTGTCTCAACTTCAATAGATAGTCTTCACATTTTTAATTATCACCAATAGAACTCAGGTAAGCTAGGTAATAGATACCATCCTGAACTTAATCGGCAGACATCCTCTGAAGTTATCACTTGAATTCTATTCTCACATTATAGAAATCATCTCGTTCATCTTCGACATTTATATTCGCAGAATCTCTCATTCGACAGTCTAATACTGCAGCTTTCTCTCGTAAAAATTTCGTAGAAAATCATCTTGAAATAACGAAAATCTGATTTTCACATTAAAAACTTTCATCAAGTAGTGAGCCCAATTTTCAAGTCCAATATTGATATTTCGAGCTGTAGCTCAATGTAGGTCCGAAATAGAATTATTGCAAAAGTTTTTAGGAGCGAGCTTTGAACTGAAAAGCCCTAATTACATCGGGCTGCTATGAGCGTGAAGCAAAGCAAAAACCAATTATACGAGCGCGAAAAGACAAACGAAAATTTTTGAGATGACACCTTCGTTCAGTTTTTTCAACAAACGCCAAACAGTGTGTCTACGTATGCCGAATTCTCATATGTTGGTCAGTTTATATTGATTTTAAATACATACTCTTTTGGAGTCAGAATAGTCTTGCAGATATGTCTACCTGAATAGTCCAATGAAACAGAAAATGTATAAGCTAAAGAAAGTAGTTTTGGAACAAAATTTCTCATAGAAAAGCTTTCAGCACAATTATCTTTGGATTCAAATGTGAAACACAATAAATTCGTTTCGCTTGCTAAGCAGAGCACCAACGATATAGACCATAATGACAGTCGGAAGCTTTATCAATACTATCTGTCAGATTTGTAGTTCGAGGTGGAGGGTGCAATTTTCTCGTTATATACTACAACATTCATCTCCAATTGTGTCACAAAAATATTCTTTTAGCTAAGTTCACTTTACCATTCATCATCGTCTTTTCTTGAATTAACAAATTTTTTAGCTTTTCCTTTTCAGCCAAATACTCCAATAACCATCTAGTTCGCATAACTAACTGATACCGCCCGTCTTGGTGTTGTGACTGAAATATACCATCATTTTTTAATTCAACTTCATAATTTAATGCTAAATAATAATGACTTGGTTCTGGTTCATTGATTCTTTCGCAAACTTTTCTAATGATTTCATCGTACGTAGTTATTGATGGAACCGCATTGATTTTTATCATCTCACCTGTTCGACGAACATGAACTTGAATAGAACAGATTGTGGATGCTATGTGCTATAATTTCAGTAAACAGAAGAGATTATTTATCTTTCATACATTCTAATTTTCAAACTCGTTTTCTATTGTTTTCAACGTTACAATCAACATTGTTCAGCTCACATAAGATCAGTCAAACTAACTACATACGTATACGATAAAGAAAACAAGACGTCAAACATGATAGAGCCACTTGAACCATTACAGCGAAATCTAGTGACATCTGTCATGCTTCATCAGGAGATTAAAACCCAGACTATCGAAAAGTCTGCCAGACATGGTGAGGGGAATGAAATTTGGATAAGAAAATGATAAAAAGTTCTGATGCGCACCATTTCACTCTTATATTCTATCGTAACTGATACTTCAAGCCAAAAGAATAGAACAGTTTCATTTTCTGATTGAAAAACACAATCATGTTCATTCATGTAAAAAAATCGTACAACATCTGGATTGAACTGAAAAGAAAGCTTTAAATGTATTTTCCTCTAAAGTATGTACATTTGATAGTTGAATAACACAATTCTTCTCCATTTTATTTTGCATCGACTTCGAAAATCAATTTCTAAATTTGCCCTTCGGAAGACTAAAGGATCGCTGTCATTCACTACGCGCATTCTCCAGGAAAAATGCAGCTTGTTTTGTGTAACAGTGCCACGTTTTTTTACCGTCTAACGCAACTGAGACGATGGAAGTCAAAACAACTATTCACTTCTTCTGCACACCTTCGCTTATAAAGAGGATGACGAAAAAATTGATTTGCTGTTCGTTCTTCATGAAAAGAAAGATCGAGAACCTTCTTTTTTCATAATTCATTTCAAGGTTACAAAGGAAAAAAGAATAGAAAAGAAAGAAGTTGGAAGTTATGAAGACATATTGTTATTGCGTCACTTCCAAATCAATTGCGGCTGTACAACTTCTCGATATAAACATTATTGACAGTGTGATGTGAGGCACTGCGTATTGGACATAAAACAAGTAAATGACTCATGCATTTTCTTTCTCATTTCATGTGGCAGTGGTGAGAGTGTTGACTGACATTGGATTCTTCCTAGATTTCTATCCTTTTATATATTCTCTGATATTTCGATCGACTTTCTATTTTCTCTACACGTTGAGTCTCAGATTCGATGTAAGACGATTGTCAGACCTGAATGGAAAACACAAAAGTCTATAGATTAATATATATGATATCATATAGTATTTGTTAATTAAAGATGAACATGGAACGAATCTGATGCCAGAGTATTGGAGATAGCGGCGGTTTTAATTCAGATTCAAAGCCTCAAGACGAATTTTTTAGACAGAGAACGTCCTCCAGGAGTATCCAATCTTTAAAGAGTTCTGAGGTTTCAATAGCCAAGCAGCATCCTTGATATCTATGCGTGTCATAGTCATGCCTATATAGTATAACCATATATTGACTTTCATTCAGGTATGGATGTTCAAAGGGTCCACAGGGAGTTCTGGATTCCAGGAGTATTGTGTGCCGTAGCACAAATGAGTTCACTATTTTTCGAATAATTTTTTATAGGACTAAGATAAGATCTGTAAGTTTTTTGTCTAATAGGGCCTTTTCTGTCCTATCAAATGAGAAAAATTCGCTAAACCTACTCGTCAATTGTAGGTAGGCATAGTTTCATATCAAGTGTCACTTTGAGAAAGAAATATTCAGTGTCTTATCCTTTTTCCTATCTAACCTTATTCTGATTGGAAGCCTTAAGAAGAAAGACTAAGTTACATTATAGAAGAAAGTTGCAAACATTGCTGCGTACATCTATTCAACTACGAATTTTAAGATAAGCTATTCGTCAGAGTCCCATAGCGTCATCATGCAGTGCTATGTGATTCGATCGCTGTTTCTCAGTACTTTCAGGGAAGTTTAGTTTCGAAATAGGTTATGTTTCAATTCAATCTTTGCAAAGTTGAATATCCAAACGAAGTGTCTGGATAATCTTACATTGTATTTTTAGCCCTCAGATGAATCAATAAATGAAGTCGAATCTTAAGATCAATATGTATGTTTGTAACGCATTGTACTATTTCTTTAGTGCTTGACGACTAAATCATTAAAATCTAGCAAAATTCTACTCTTGTTTGTTTTTTCAAATGTTTTTTGTGTAAACATGACATTTATTGATTCACCGATTATACAATAGTCGTATAGTATATTTTCTGAAGAAAAAAAAACTACCCATTGCCTATTTTTCTCTTTTTATCTGTGTTCACTTGAATTTGTGCAAGATGCATCATATAAAGATTGATCCGAATGCATCTTGCTTACCATTTCCGACAAATACAGTACACTAAAATTCTGAGAAAAAAAAATCTCAAAACGTACACGAACAATGTTTCAACTAGTTTTTTTTCGTTTTCGTATCAAAATGAAGCTCTATGTAGAAAGGTACTCAAAAAGCCATGCTTATTTGTGCCTTCACTTCAAACATGACGTTCAGTCGTTTTAGATAGTTTAAATATAACGGAACCGATGGCCAGCGAAAACAATGTGAAGAAAAGAGCCAGAAACCGAACTATTGCAGTGACTTCTGCTGTTACAATTGGTGCCAATAACTTGCGTACATCACAAATAGAATGTACAAATAATAATCCTCCATTCGTAGCTAACTATGTCGAAAATAAACTTCAAGATTTCACTTTTATTGTTTGTGGTGGTCCACGGACAGGTAAAAGTACATTAATCAACGCCATCATTGGCAAAGAATGGGCTCCCACCGGTCCAGGCCCACTTCCTATAACACAAGAATCAACATGTTATGAGCTCAAAGGTATTTTTCCAGAAATCATTGATAGACAAACAAATGAGAGATATGTCGATGCTCAACAATTTCGAATTAATATTTGGGATACAAAAGGAATAAAAACATGGGATTCATCCATCGTTGATATTGTTAGACAAAAAAATCCGATGTGTGTTATATTATGTGCATCGCCGGGTTCGTTTGCCAATGATGAATTTATTCGTGGATTAATTAGTGAATGTGTTAATTTCAATATCTTTATCGCACTTGTTTGTACAAATCAATGGAATGGTTCTGACGACAAACGAAAAGCAGTCATGCAAGACTTTCATGATTTACTAAAGGTTAGTTATAGTATTCGATAGGATAATTGTTACATATTCAAAACCAAAGCTTCCAATAATTGGAGACGTAATAAAGCATTATTTTGCTAATATCTATTCAAACATCTATGCAACATCTTTTCTATTTAGTGGGAACGATTGAATAAAAGAGTGTAGCAACTAGAATCTGGAGGGACAACGATGTTTTGAACTCGTCTCAGTTCTAAAATGACCTCAAAGACTCATGGTGTGTGCCTCGTATAATCACCCAATCCGAGTACGACTATTCCCGTTGGATTCATAATTTTATAGAATAACTATTCTTGAACAAAGATCTCGAATCAAGAATGTACGTACATAGGGATAGTGCAACTGTATGTAGGCGTAGAAACTGTGAAGACAATTCTAAACTGGAGTCATTAACTAGAAGTTTTCAACCGAGTAGAAGTCGTCTGGTTTATTCGTTCATCGATCCATTGAAAAATCATTCT